ATTTTGATATTTCTGAAGCAGAAGAAGATTCTGAATGAAAAGAATATTTTGTGTTTTATAAATAAAAACAATTGTAGCATTGTTTTTAAAAAGTTTTTTTAAAATTATTTTATTGTTATTTTTGTCTGTTATTAAGCTCTGTATATATATATATATATATATATATATATATATATATATATATATATATATATATATATATATATATATATATATATATATAATATATATGTATGTATGTATGATGTATAGTCTTCTCCGTTTAACCAGCACTTTTGCGCTCAAGTCATTTCGCGCTCGCCTACGCACCCACAAAAAATTTGGCCTTTTTGTTCGCTGGCATTAAATTTCAAGCGGTGAAGACTGTATATATATTTTTAAGAAATTAAAAGAAGTTATTTTTATTTGGCTTAAGTTTCTTAAATGCCATAGTTTAAACTCCATGTTTTCTTAAAGTTCATAGATTTTGTAATTCAAAAAATATTTTAGTAAAAAATATTTGATGTATATTTTTAAATTTATAAATATAAACTTTTTGAAAGCAATGTAGTAGCAAAATTGAAATTAAATCAATAGAAGATGGATGATAAGCATTCTTTAATTGCAAATATTGGTAATAATTTATAATTAAAAAGTTGTTATATTACTTAGTTGTATTTTATTCTTAGATATTATACATTTAATATTAGGACATGTTAATTTTTGTTATATTTTACTTATCAAAATCAGGGCTGTGGAGTCGGAGTCGGAAATGCGGAGTTGCAACGTTGCGGAGTCACTAAACAAAATCACGACTCCAACTCCAATAGTAAAACTTCTCGATATTGTTCGTGCATGTACAAAACATGCAATTAACCTTATATTCATACTAAACCTCAAAGAACGTTTAATAAATATGTCAAAAAATTTTTTTTTATCTTATTGCCTAATATTTTTGAAAGAATTCAAAGAATTTTTCAAAAATTTTGCTTTGGAGTTGGAGTCGGAGTCGGAGTTTTGCTCAACGACTGGAGTTGGAGTTAGAGTCGTTACTTTTTTTTACAACTCCACACCCCTGATCAAAATTAAAAGGAATTATGGTTTTTAATTTTTTTTTCTCACCTTTATGTCAGTATTTAAAATTTTTTTTTTTGATTTATTTAAAGCCAATAAAATTTTATATATTGATATATAAAGTTAGTTTGTGTTTTGAGCTAAAGCATTCCATGGTTTAAATACTTGTTTGGTGAGGAAGTTGTTTGAAGATAGGTGAGGAAGTTGTTTATTTCTGGGCAGTTTCAAACTCTGGTTAACATTTGTGGACCATAAAGTTAGCTAGTTAATTTTGCTGTTGATTTTGCGTTGTTCAATAAGATCTCCTCTTCTCATCATTTAATAAACTTTGTCAGGTTTAGTCTTGATAGTTGCTGGGTGTGGAGTGTATAGGTGTTGGGTAAGTGCATTATGGTAGAGATGTGTTTTGTAGCTCAGTGTTGAAGTTGTTTGAGGCCTTTTTTAGCTAATATATTTGTTTTTCTTATATACTTATTTTTCCGTACAGCAATATATATATTTGTATTTATACCTAACAGGATAATTTAAATTTTATATTTATGCTATAAATTTAGAAATTTCAGAAGATGAAGAAGTTGAACACGAGTTATCTAAAAAACGGGTTCATTTTGTATATCCTAAATTTAAATCAAATGAAGATAATCTACCTTCTGCACAACTAACAAATGATGATGGTGTGAACTCAGTAAGCTTCTTTTACAAATTCTATAAGAAAGAAAAAAATAGAATTAAAAAAAAATACAACACAGGCTAAACTTACAAAAAATAAAAAAATAAATATTTTTCATTCTATGAAATAAATAAAATAGTTTTACTAAAAAATAAAGATGATTATGCCAAATAAAATATATTTAAAAAATGCAATTATAACTAAAGTCATTCAACTTCCTTTCTTTTTGTTTATCAATTTTTTTTTTTTCAATTTTTCTTTTAAAATTTAAAATAAAATATTTTTCCTTTTTATTTACTTCACAAATGTTCTGATGATAGAATATTTTCACAAAAATTTCAACTATCTATGCATTATAAGTATTGGTCTTTATTTATTCTTATTATCTTTATTATTTTTTAGTTTTTATAAAATTATTAATTATTATTTTGTGGTTGTACCAGATCGATTTGAAAATTTTGTATCAATTACGAAGTTTTTTTTGTGTACTATCAATTCCAACAAAATATTTTACCACAAATTTTCCATTTTTCATTCTAGAGACAACCTTCTCAAGCCCATTCACTCTAGTGTCGATTGTCAATTATACCAACAATCAGTAAATTTATGGTTCTAGTCCTGATCGAACCTCTGGGTTTTTCCCCTTTTATTTCATTTAGACAGGTGCTGTAAGCAGCTGTCCAGGTTTGAGGGGGGGGGGGATTTTAACTGGGCATACGAGAACAAGAGAAGGAATACTTTAAAGCACATATAAATTATATGTGGAAGAATATATAAAAAAAGAACAGTTAAGATAAAGTATACACTACCGTCCATAATTATTCAAATGGTCATACTTATCGAAATAAGATATCATAGTTTTACTTACTATTGGTAGAGAAACTATAAGCAAAGTCTACTTGAATTATGTTATCTTAATTTTTATTAGGTTTACAAAAAAATTAATGTAAGTCTGATTAGATTAATTTATATCTTTCTTGTCTTTTAATCAACATTAGCAACAATAACCGCCACACATAATCTTGGCATTCTACTTAACGACCAATCCATTTTGTTGAAGTCAATTTTGTGCCACTAACTAATTAGTTTTGTCCACATCTTATGCATCATTTTCATTTGTTTTTTAAATTACTTTTAATTCCTCCCATAAAAATTCGATAGGAGATAGATCTTGTGATTGTTTTTTTGTTTTTTTTGTTTTTATTTTTTTGTTTTTTTTTAACATCTTCGCTTCCAACAAAGCTGCAAGCAACCACTAATTAGTATTGGAAGTTGCTGTAAGAAAAAAGATAAAGATTGTAGAGCAAGATAACGGTTGACAGACGACTTAAAAGATTGCAAATTATATGAATCAGGAAAGCAAGATGAAGGAAGCGAATTCCAAAGAACTGATGTTCGAGGAAAAAAACTAGACGAATAAGAGTTTTTGGAGCACTTAGGAACAGTAACAGAAAAAGGATGAGACTTAATTGAATGACGAGTAACACCAGAATAAATTTTAGTAGATCGCACAAGAGACGCTAGCCCTTTCGAGCAGTGCCCATTATAGTATTTGTAGAAAAGAGAAAGAGAAGCAACATTACAACGATGTGACAGAGGTTGAAGGTTGGCTCCAAGAGCAGGTCCAACTATGTTTACAATGCGTTTTTGCACCTTGTCTAAAAGAGAAAGGGCATCATTAGAAGATCCGCCCCAGATATGGCAACAGTATTCCATACAAGGTTAGATTTGAGATTTATAGAAATAGAGAAAAGAATCCAGAGTAAGAAAGTGTCGAGCTCGATAAAGAGATGCAACTTTAGCAGATGCTAATTTTGCAACGGATTTGATATAAGGTTTCCAAGAAAGATCAGAAGTGAGAGTTAATCCTATAAGATGAAGGGTAGATGACTTATCGAGTACATTACCGTTCATAAATATAGGAAGGTCTAAATTATTGCGATAACGATTGGCCGATAAAACTCAATTAAAAATTGAGTTTTATCTAAATTAAACTTCACCAGCCACTGTGGGCCCCATGCTGTAGCAGAAGTGAGATCTTTTTCAAGCTCAAATGCCCCCTGCAGGCAATCAGAGGGAGTTGGCTTCTTATCGTGACAAGAATAAATGGTATCATCATCGAGCAATGCCACCTTAGATGTGAGAATATCTGGAAGATTGTTAATGTATATTAAAAAGAGTATAGGGCCAAGGATTGAACCATGAGTAACCCCTAAGGTTACAGAAAAAGAAGAAAAATGCTGTCCATTAAGGACAACTTTTATACTACGATTGGAAAGAAAGGATTCAATAATCTTAAAGATGTTTCCAGATACACCGTAAGAAGAAAGCTTATGGAGAAGACCAGCATGCCAAACTTTATCAAACGCTTTAGAAATGGCAAGAGCAATGGCCTTAACCTCTCCACCTTTATCTAATGCATGATAAAACCTATTGGTTATAACTGTTAGCAAATCAGCCGTAGAACGAGAAGATCGAAATCCATATTGATGATCAGAAAGTAGGTTATGAGATTCAAGATGAGAGATTATGTGTTTGTTAATTAAAGATTAAAAAACCTTGCTTATGATAGGAAGAAGACTAATGGGACAGTAGTTAGATGAATCGGATCGCTCTCCAGAATTTTTAATAATAGGGATAACAGATGCTGCTTTCCAGCAGGCTGGAAAACAAGACTCTGATAAGCACTTAAATAAGTTAAATAGTTTTGAAAGGATAGATGACAGCTCCGGAGAACACTTCTGCAAGACTATAACAGGTATGTTGTCCGGGCCGCAAGCTGTAGAAGAGTCTAAGCGGGAAATCACTTTAGATACAGAAGCTGGAGTGATACGAATGTTGAGCAATGGATCAACCTGTTTGACGGGTATATCAGGTAAAACGCAACTAGTGACATCAAGAGATGATATTGATGAAAAGTTCTTGGCAAACAATTCAGCTTTGTCTTTAGGTGAGGTGACAAAGTCTGAACCGTACAAAAGAGGTGGAATTACAGACTTGCCCTTATTATTGATACTATTAAAGATTCTCCAGAAGTCGCGAGAGCCTAACTTTTGTGATGAAATACGAGATTTCATGATCTGAGAATAGCGGGCTTTGGCGTTAGACAAAACCTTTTTACAATGGTTCCTAGCAATAATAAACAGACGTCTGTTTTCTGGAGAATTGTTTTGCTGATAGATATGGAAGTAATGGTTTTGATTGGCAATTGCAGCAGCACAATGCGAGGAAAACCATGGAGAAGAGTGAGGCTTGACCTGGAATTGTTAAGAGGGAATAAAGGATTCCATGCCAGCCTGAATCCACAAAGTTATGTAAGAAGCACATTTGTCAACAGGGAGACGAAAGATTTCTACCCAGGGGCCATCACGAAGAAAGTCACGAAAAGAGTCCCAGTCAGCTTTAAGGTAGTTGTAAGATGTACAATGATAGGGGGATTCTGATGGTAAAGAAGAACGAGATAATAGTTTTAGAGAGACCAAACCATGATTGGAAGCACCTAAGGGTGAGTGTGGAGAAACTGAGCACTGACTAGGATCAGAAACAAGACATAAGTCGAGTAGAGAAGGTAAATGATTCAGGTTATCTGGAAAGCGAGTTGGAAAGTTGACTATTTGAGTTGGAGATTGAGAAAGACAAAAGTTGTGGGCCTTAATGCCTGCAGAGTCACTGACACTAGAGCCAAGCCATTCAGTGTGATGAACATTGAAGTCACCGACAACAACAATATTGGCTGATGGATAAAGAGAGAGGGTTTGGTCAATATGATCAGAAATAACATCAAGAAGAGTGTAGTCTTGAGATGAGGGAGAGCGATATAGAACAAAGAGAAAGGTGATAGAGTGAAGTGGTGCTAAACGAAAGCACATAAGAGTAGTGGGTGGATTCAAACCTAGTTTCCCGACAAATGGGTAAATTTTGACGAATGTAAATGCCCAGGCCAAGCATGTGACTATTGGAGTCTTTACGAATTAAAGGAAGATAACCATCAACACTAAGATCACATGATGAAACAGCCGAACTCAAATTAGTCTCACAAAGAGCAACTAGGTCTGGTGAAATTTTCAAGAGATAAGATTCAACAGAAGAAAAGTTACTTCGAAGACCACGAATATTAGTGAATGATAGGTTTAGCAAACTTGGTGATGACTGGTTTTTTGTGTTTTATAGTTTTTGTTACTTTATTCATTTTTAAATTTGTTAAAGAACTTGACTCGAAACATAGATAGTACTCAGTACACTGTTTTATAGCCCATGTAATTGCCTCATTTCCATTAATAAACCCTAAGCCGTAACAAAGGGCTCCAATGTGGCCTTGGCAATGCACACCAAAAGTACCAACAGGGACACCATCCATGCACAACATGGCACTGCTAGTACTTTGATATTTTTCAGCTGTTGATGGAATCAGCCTCTCTGAGAGCTACTACAGAGTTCGTGAAACCTGACTACCAGCCGGACTCAGAACCATAAAACTGAGTTTTAGAGCTGTACCCTCATTTGGAGATAATAGAATGAGTTGCCTAGTCATAAAAACAGAGACACAAGCAAAACCCATGTATTGAGTCAAGAAGATCCAGCGTTCAACATCCTAAACTGGAAACAATGTATTAAAAATACATATGCGCCAGCCTAATAGATGAAGAAGGGGTGCGAGGCTGGTCAACAAATAGAATCTGTTTACCTCTTAGGTCTTTGCCTAGGAGGCCTTCTACAAGACAGCAGCCGGATGCATATGTGTGGTATGCCGGATGAATATGCGGTAGTGGTGTAGTGGTAAGAGCGCTCTCTTTGTAAGTGAGAGTTTCGGAGTTCGACTCCCACCATGTTCCTAGAAGTACTGCGCTCAACTTAATTTTTCCGCACAACGGCCTTGCTTGTCAAGGTTCGTGTTTCATCTGCCCAAGATGAGTATTTTTATCGAGACACCATCTCTAGCCTTTACTCAACCAAGAGCCTCAAGGCAGGGGGTGTTTTATGTCAGAGTTTGCATCTCCTAGCCTTTGCCTAAAAAGGCGTATCCTACAATGCAGCAGGACATGAAGCCGATTGTACTGGGTTACATGTTACCAGTAGCAGGATAAACCTGACCTGACCTAAGTGATAAGGATAAACCTGACCTGACCTAACCTGATTGGGAAGGCTAAATCATTTTATTTAATATTTTATCGTTCTCAAAATCAGTCAAATAACTTTAACAAATTTTTTCAAAACTATGTTTTAGATTAAAGCTTTATTTTCTTTTGAAAAAATGAATAGCTTCTCATTAACCCATCTTTACGAAGGTAGCATAAATTTTTTAGGTGTACAAGTAAACTACTTTTGTCATTACTCCCTTTATTTTTTTACTAAGTCACCTGTGGCATTCCAACCCAAACAGCTCCACACCTTAACACTACACCCACCATGTTTTACAGGCAATAATACACACTATTTTTTCCCAGACAATCTTATCTTGAAACCAAAGATTTAAAACTTCGACACATCGGTCCGCATTTAAAGTTATTGATAGTCCATTTTTTATCTAGTTTGGCCCGCTTAAGCATTTTTATTTTTTTAATGATTTTTATCAAAGCCTTTAAAACAAAATACTTTTAGATATAATAGTGCAAAAATAAACATAAAAAATAGTTAAATAAAAAATTATAATCTCAAAATTTTTTAAAAAATTTTAAAAACATAAAAAAAAAACTTAATGCCATTCGAATAATTATGAACGATAGTGTATTTGATTAATGCTGGAAAAATTAATAAAAATTATATTATTTTTATAACACAGCAAGCTTATTTGATATACAAATCTGGTTTTGATGGTTCAACAAGCCAAGTTGTTCATAATACAGAAAATTATATGCAAGAATTCAATGTCATAAATAAATGTTTATTCTTGTCATACATAGTTCTTCTTAAACTTTCAACTGAATAAATTAGAATAAATTAGAATAAATTAGGGAGATCTTGTGATTTAAAACAAAGTTAATCGACACTCTAGATCAATTAGGTTCTTATTTTTTGATTTGTCGATGAAAGTGGTAAAGTTTTTACGGTTGCTTACCAATAATCAATATTATCTCCATAAATTTGAAATTAGAGTTAGCCATATAATTACAAACCAGGATCAGAAAAATTTTAATTATGGGGTTTCATGGAGACCTGAAAGGTTAGAGAGGAAACAGAAGTGTGTTAAGCAGCAGAAGGTAAAATTGTTCATAGAAAACCAGGAATTCTATGACAATAAATGATGGAAATACAGTCAAATATTCTTTAATGAATTAACTTATTGTTGAATTTAGCCATAAGTAACTTTAATATCCTTTATGTTCTATCTTCTAATGAGAAGATCCTGATCTATTTCTGTGTTTCTGTAGGTAATAGTATCATGCCTGTTAAATTGAGAAAATCTAATTTTGACCTCAAAAATGAATTTCCCCAGTCCTGCAAACCCCTATTTTGATGTATATCCATATAAAAGGTTCCGTATAGTTTTACTTTATACATTTATAGTTTTGCTTCTGGCATGCTCTGTGCAACAATGTTTTGATTTTTTTGTTTTAGGTAAAAATATATTAAATAATTTTTTGTGTATCCTAGCAGCAGTGTCTTTAATCTTTTTTTTTTTTTATCTATAAAGGTTATTGAAAGTACATATCAGCCAGAAATTGATATTTTAACTGGTGAAATGCCTACAAATATACCTTCATCTTACAAAACTGTTGCTTGGCTGTCATGTCTGTTTGGCTGCATTCCATTTTCTATTGCTGCTGTTTTGAAATCAAGGAAGGTAAAAAAATGTTTGTTCTACTTTTTTTTAAGTTTCTTTTTTATTTACTTCTTATTTTTGCTTTTAATTTTATTAGGTTTCAAAACTTATTGCAAAAGGAGACTTAAAGAATGCTAAAGTTCAATCAGAAGTGACAGTAAAATTAGCTTCACTGGCTATCATTTTTGGAATCATATTGATTGTGTTTTTTATTATCGTATACTTGCTGAGGAAGTACTTTTAATTTTATGGTGTTTTTCAGATTTTATGTCTTTGTAATATTTCAATGTATAGAGATTTTATACATTTGTGATATTTTAATGAGATTTTACTATAGTTTAGTTATAGTGGTTGTTATAAAATGGTTATTATAAAATTATTAGCTATGAATTTGTTTGAATTATTTAATTCTTTTATTTTTTGAATTTTTTTTTTTTGATAGTTTTCTGTGTACGGCAAAAAAAAAAAAAGGATAATTTTAAATTTTTTTATATTTTACTTTTGTTATTTCGAGTTTCTAACAATGGATTTCAAATTTTTTTTATATACATATATATATCAATGCTTTTTTATAATGAAATTCAAAAAAATATATATTATAATAAATGTATATTATATAGTATATATAAAGTATTTTAATTTTTATATGAAATAAAGTTTAAGTTTTGTAAGCTGTTTATTTTAAAAAGTTTTTTAACTTATTACTAATAAATAAACTTTTATAAAAATAATAAAAATTAAATATTTTTATTAAATATATTAATTCTACTAAATATTGCATAGTTTTAAGCCACATTAAAAATATTTTTTAATGTTTCTAATGAGTTTACTTATTTTTGCTTATGAGTAAATTTTTGTATTATTTTTATAAAACAACGAAAATAGCAACAAATCAATTATTTAGGGATGAATGTGTGTTGAGTGTATATATATTATCTGAATTACTATCCATAGGTGCATTAAGTGTACATACATTGACTGAAGGTTTTGGTATGGGTATGCAGTCTAATACTTTTTAGAAAAGTATTTTTTAAGTTTTTAAATTTTTGTGAGTCTTCTTTTTTTTTTTTAAATCTGAAATTAAAGTTGTTTATGGTTAAAATTAGAAACATCAATCAAATTAAAGTATTTTAAGTAAAAGCTATACTTTAAGTTGCACGAGTTTTATGTAGGTAATTTTACATGCATGAAAAATATGGGTATGCTACTGAACACTTTAAACAATATATTTGTTTGGCTTTTTTATTCTGATAAATTTGCTATTATTATTATTATTTTTAATTAGTTTATTTTAAAGGAAATTGTAATAATTATTGTTTTAATAAAATTTCTTTTTATATCATCATAATATATATATTATTATTATATTTGTATAAATATATTATGTATGTATATATATATATATATATATATATATATATATATATATATATATATATATATATATATATATATATATATATATATATATATATATATATATATATATATATATATATATATATATATATATATATATATATATATATTAGGGTTTCCCAAAAAACAACATTTTTGAAAATAATCTGCTCTCACTCCCTAAATGTTTTCTATCTAATGCAAAAACAATAGGTTTGAATTTTTTTTGAATAAAAAATATTTTAAGGGGTCCCTCAAGACCCTTGAATATTTAATGGGTCCCTAATATTTTCGAAAAAAAAGTTTTTCAAAAACCTGGTACTCAAATGAAGCGAAATTATATAAAAATTTTAAAAATAGTATTCATTTCGAAACAAATTGTTATTTTTGGTTTTATTACATAAAAAATTGCGTTTTTTAAGAAAAAATGAAAAAAATGCATTTCTAATGTTTTTTTATGATCATTTTGATAAATAAGTTAAAAATATTTCGAAATGAATATTATTTTTAAAATATTTATATAATTTGGCTTCATTCGAGTACCAAGTTGACATATTTTTGAAAACCTATTTTTTTTTCGAAAATATTAGGGACCCATTAAATATTCGAGGGTCTTGAGAGACCCCTTAAAATATTTTTTATTCAAAAAAAATTTAAACCTATTGTTTTTGCATTAGATAGAACACATTTAGGGAGTGAGAGCAGATTATTTTCAAAAATGTTGTTTTTTGGGACACCCTAATATATATATATATATATATATATATATATATATATATATATATATATATATATATATATATATATATATATATATATATATATATATATATATATATATATATATATATATATATATATATATATATATATATATAATATATATATATATATATATATATATATATATATATATATATATATATATATATAAAGTTATTTTTCAGTTATAGTTTATGGAAGTTGGGAAATTAAGATCAATGTTTTCTCTGCCATATTACAGACACATAACTTTTGTTACATCCGCTATTGCCAGCTCTTTTTTAATCTCAAATAAAAAAATAAATAAGTATTTTTCATTTCATTTCGTTAATGCACAGACTAAACAAGATACTGTGATGATACAAGATGGTAAGCAAGATAAAGAAGCTGTTCAATTTACTAATCAAGTTAGCATTCTGAAAAGTAATAAAAAACAGAAAAACATATCGAAAATTTTAAAATCTCAAGAATTTAGCAGAAAAATTGATAGCAATTTTTATAGTCCAGTTTCTTGGTTTGAAACAAATCATTACAGTGCAAATAATCCCATTGAAGACAGACACTGTGAATGCTCTCTTTTAAAGAACAATGCTTTTTTTTTTGGCATTTTTGATGGTCACAGTGGCTGGCACTGTTCCGAAAGTTTAAGGTTAAACCTTCCTCTGTATGTCTCATTAGCCTTTTCAAATGACAATCTTCTTAAAGATTTTAACTCAGGAAAGTTATCTCAAAAAGATTTTGTTCAATACTTAGGAAATCCTGATGATAATTGCCTAACATTTGCTACTCCAAATGGTTATAAAAGCAAACAAGATAAGTTAAAAACTGGTCCTTGTAACTTTGCACAATTTATGAATACAGAAAAATACAGCACAAGTGAAATTTTACAATATGCTTATTTGTCAATGGATAGAGATATAACACTAGAGGCTATACCTGATGGTGAATGCATTGAACCAATATGGACAGGCCTGTCAGGATCTGTTGCCATAGGAGCTTACATAAAAGAAAATGATGTTTTCGTTGCAAGCACAGGTAACTGCTTTTTTTTTTTTAATTAAATAGTTTTACAACTTAATTATAAATTTATTGTGTAAAGGTTTTTCAGTATTAACTCTGGTATTAGATTTTAAATTCAAACTAAGAATTTTTTCATAAAGTTTGAAAGCTTAAAAATTGTAAAACTTTAATTTAAGATAAAACTACAAAAACTTATCTTCAGTTAAACTGAAAAAAACACTCCAGATGTTTATCACACAATATATTTGTTTGTATGTATTTATGTATGTATGTATATAAATAGCATTGCATCACATTCTTTTATTTTAGGTGACTGTAGAGGTGTTCTTGGAGTTAAATCAGATCAAAAATTATGGTTATCTATTCCTTTGAGTGAAGATCATACAGCAGATAATATAAATGAGGTTTTGAGAATAAAAAAGGAACATCCAAACGAAGAACATACTGTTATTTTACAATCTCGTTTACTTGGGCAACTTCAACCTTTGCGTTCATTTGGTGATGTTATCTACAAATGGTCAAAAGAATTACATCGACAAGTTTTAGATATCATATATGGATATGCTGTTGTTCCTATTTCAATTTACAAGAGTCCCCCTTACTTGACAGCACAACCCGACATAATGCATAAAATACTTAATAAAGATGATCGATTTATTATTTTAGCATCTGATGGGTTGTGGGATACTGTTTCAAATGATCAAGCAGTTCAGATTATTGGAAAATATTTAGATAATTTAGAAAATGGAATTAAAGATGAAGAAAATGGTGCTACTAAATTAATAAGATATGCTTTGGGTCAAGGAGACAATGATAGATTATATAGTATGCTAGAATTACCTCAAAAAGTCAAGCGTAACTATCATGATGACATAACTGTGACTGTCATATACTTTGATTCTAAATTGTTTCCATGTAACTCTAAGTTATAAAGATTAAATAGATGAATATTTTTGTATACGCTTAAATTTAAAGCTAAATTGTTAAAAAAGCAATTAAATAATATAATTTGGTTTTGTTATATATATATATATATATATATATATATATATATATATATATATATATATATATATATATATATATATATATATATATATATATATATATATATATATATATATATATATATATATATATATATATATATAATAGGTGAACTTTAGTTTAAAAGTAACTAAAAAGTCATTTGTTTTATATAATTTTTGAAAAAATTTAATCGAAATGACCCTTGGTTACTTGCTGGGTGCTATATATCGCTAAACTTTATTATCTCCAAAATTATATAAACGTGGGTATTAAATGAATCAGAATTTTATAGAGTTTTTAGAATGAATAGTTTAATTAAATTCAATTTCTTAATATATATACATAAAATACAACATTTTAAAACTATAATTGATATGGTAATTTTTTTTTTAATGACATTTTGTAGTAATAATTTTTTTATGATGTTTTTAATTAAAAAAATGTTAATAAATAAATTTAAAAATCTAAACAAAAGTACCAAACCCCTTTCCCCCTCCCCCTCCACTATATGTGTTTATGTATGTGTGTCTGTATGTATCTATGTACTTATACAATTGTTGATTAAAATTTATATATAAGTATATAATATATTTCGCTTACTTAGTTATTAAAATGCTAGCTTTATTCCTGTCAGTTTTTCAAAGAAACAAGAAAAATAAAAGGAATAATTAAAAAAAAATTTTTTTTGCTGTAATAAATGTCATTTATACAAATTGCATGAGTCTCAGTCAATGTATATTTTGAAGACTATGGTTACTTCAGTTTGAGGTCATCATTAATGTTTCATGTGATTCTTAATTCTCATCAAAATTAAGGTAGGCATTCAGCAATGCTGACTTAACTGCTGGCCTTAAAGTGTAAAAGGTCAGCAAAAAATTCTTGACCTTGTTTCTATGTTTTATGGTAAGACTTTGTATCAGTATATATATATATATATATATATATATATATATATATATATATATATATATATATATATATATATATATGTATATATATCAAAAATATAATATGATATATACATACATACATACATACATACATACATACATACATACATACATACATACATACATACATACATACATACATACATACATACATACAAACATACAGAGTGGCCCAAAACTCACTAAACCATTTAAAATAAAAATAACTTTTTTATTTTTTCTCAATTTACTTTTATTATTTTAAAAATAAAAACACACTTGGAAATAAGTTTCATCTAATTTTGAAAATAAACATCTTTAAATATCCATCATTTTGTTTTCCATACTTAGCTAGTTCTAGAGAGTGAACTGTTGTAATGTTTTGTAACTTAGGTTCTTGCCAAATAATGGAAATTAATGGCATGCTAATTATGCCCAATAATCTGCTGGCACCAGTTCCCGCACTATCTGTATCTTATTTAGAATGCATTTCAGAATCTTTTAAAACCTCTGGAGCGAAATTTGAGATATTCCAAGCTGTTAGGACCGCCTTCAAGTTGGTCTTCTTCAATCTTTTTGCATACATACTGAATATATTCCTATAACATTCCTGGGCATGGCCTCCGAGCACATGGTAAATTAATCAGGCTACTTTTAAAAAGTAACAACCCTCTATTAATTCTATAACTCGGAAACACAAACCTTGATGAACAAGATCACTGCGTAGAGAAACAAGTTAAGTGCGGTACTACCAGGGATGTGGTGGGGATCAAACTCAAAATTTCTTGCATATGAAGCAAGCGCTCTACCACTACACCACTACCACAGTAGTTTTCACTTCAAAATGATTAGTGTACGCTTTTTGTGCTAGCACGATTGATCGTCTATTTTCCAGATAAAACTCAATTATTTAACAAATTCAGTCGAGAATTTTTACTATTTAATTTACAATTATTATGCTTTAATAATCTGAAATTAAAAAAAAAGGAAAATAAAGTTTTTAGAATTTAAAATAATCTAGTGACTTTTGGACCATATATTCAAATAATTTTGAATGTATTCTACAAAATAGAGTGCTCAATGATCTTAAAAGAACAGAGCAATAATAAATTTGGAGAAAATCACTCATAAAATTTTTTTCATTTTATAGTTTTTATTGTAGTATATATATATAATATATATGTAGTATATATTTACCCAGGTCACTGATTCCCTGATAGTGTAACGCTGATATAATGCTTACGTATTAATCATGTTACGTATTAATCATGTTTTATTTTTAAATGCGTTAATTACTTAAAAAATATCATGCCTCAAAACAATTTTATTTAAACTTATTAACTTATAGAGTTACAATATTGTATGGTGCAGTCGTTAATCAAATCTTTTTTTTTAATATTTTTTTTTAATTAACTAATTGTTGCTAATATATAGATAATAATAAATATTAATATAAAAGACACGCTGGTTAATAAATAGTTAAGTAATTCAGATAATAGATAACTTAAATGATCTTACCACATCTTACTTTTAAAAAAAGGCATTATCATTATGCTCTTATTATAGTTTATAAAAAGTTCTTGAATGAAATTTTTTAACCTAGAAGTTTTTATTTTTAACATTTGTCTTCAATCATTTAAATTTTTGATTTTAATTCTTTTTCATTTATAAACACTCGTATGTATATTATATATAAGATTTATTTGCCTTCACCTGGTTCACTTTACTTCTCAAAATAAATATAATTACAAGTGTAAAAAGTTGCTGAAAACAGGCGCCATTTTTTAGTATATATATAAACATACAGTAGTGGCCAAAAAATTAAGGTAGGCTACTTTTTTTTTTTTTTAAATTTTTGTTGGTTTTTCTGGCGTTATTAACTCAAATAAAAATAGTTTTATTTTAATTCTTAAAGATATTTTGATTTATTTTTTATTGAATGATAACAATTACTGTTAATTTAATTTTTTTTTTTTTTTCATTTATATAATATTTTGTATTGCATTTATACAATTAACAATTTACACTACAAAATTTGAGTTAATTTTTCTGATGTGCACTAATTTTTTGGCTACCACTATATACATATTCATATACACACAAGAAGTTAAACAAATATGTTATACTTTTAAGAGAAAAAAGAGATATCTTTAAATATATTGTACTCTTTTAGTTAACAAATGGTCTTATATGAAAGATGTTTAAAAAAGAGTTACAACTAATAATATTATTGTATTATTTTTCTATGGTTAGCATGAGTAAACCTATTGTGATAAACACTTGGCCATGGAAAAATCCAACTCTTGGAGGTAATTATAAATTTTCGCAGTTAAATCTTTTTTATGGTTGAGTAACTGTACTATCGTTTTGATTACTAGCTTGGGAAGTGTTAAAAAGTAATGGATCACTGTTAGATGCAGTGGTTAAAGGGTGCACTATTGCTGAAGAAGATAGAAGCATAACAACAGTAGGATGGGGAGGCAGGTTAGTATAACTTTATTTATTCAAAGTTTTTAAACCTTTATTTTCAAATTGTTGTTGTTCTGTTACTTTTTTGTTTTTTTGTTTGAAATTAATAGTCAGTTATTATGTTATAAAATTTTATTTTTATTTATTTTATTATTTAAAATTGTTTGCATTTTTATTGTTACTAATAAACATTCAAATATAAGAAAGGTTATTTGTATATATAATTATATATAAAAAATATATAAAAGAAGACTAACCTTTTATTTGTAATTATATATAAAAAACTTAGCATTGTAAAATCATAGTGATAAAATATTTGTGGAGAAGAAAAGATCTTCCTGACTCTACTTATGGATGTTTTCCTTGATAGTGGCTATGCAACTCTTGCTGTTATTTCCTAATGAGGGTACAGATCTAAAACTCTGTTTAATGGTTTAAAGGTTTCCTAAACTTAGTGGTAGCTCTCATAGAGGTTGATTCCATCCACAGCTTTAAAATATCAGAGTATTAACAGTGCCATGTTGTGCACAAATAATGTCCTGTTAGTTTTTTAGTGTGCATTGTTAAAGCCACATAAGAAGCCCTTTGTTAAGATTTTGTGTTGATTAGCACATAAGTTGAGATTACTTTAAGAATTCATAGTTAGGGTTTTGGGTTAGTTAGGGTTTTGGGTTAACTAGCAGGACTTAGTCAACTGCAAAGCTCATTGCTTCATGTACCATGTACTATCTATGATCAAGTCAAGTTCCCTAATCAGGCTTGGTTGGGAAGCGGGAGCGATCCCTCTCAAATACTGACCACTGAAATTATATTTAGTTGCGAAAAACTGGCCAGGTTTTTTTAGTCGTTTTAAGAACATTTAAGTTTATGTATGAAACAAAAAATTTTTGTTTTACAGACATACATGGAAACATAAAAAACTTGAATGTTCTCAAATAATTTTGGTGCAAAAGAATAAAAAGAATATTCAGGAACACTAAAAACCCGCCAAATTAAAGAACAAAATAATTCTATTGGTTCAAAAAATTTCGCTGAAGCGAAATAAAGTTCTAGAGTATTCTGTTGAAATGTTTTAGAAATTGTATTATTCACGGTTTGTTACGTTTTGAGATTTCTAGCAAAAATTGTTTTAAGAATATATATTATTTGTTTACAAAAATAAATGTTTTAAATAAATGATGGATATTTAAAGATGTTTATTTTCAAACGCTTCCTTGTCATAAAGTGTTTTTAACCTTTTTAATTGATTTCTATCTTGTTAATTTAATTTCTAAAGTAATTCAATGATTTAATTATTTAATTTGTTAGTCTTACTAAAAAGAATTGCTTCAAATATGTTAAACTTTTCAAACTACGCGAAACATAAAATAGGTATTAAAAAAGTTAACTTTTTTATTTATAAAATAATTCAGCTTAAATAAAACTAAAACTTGCAAACTTTGTTAAATAAAGAATATTTGTTTCCTTTTTAAACAATTTTTACTTTATATAAAAAACATCGCTTAATTTTATTAAAAAAATTATAAAAGAGCGATGTTTCGAAAATATTTGTTCTAAATGTAACTTATTTAGCTTTAAGTTTTTTCGCGTTTAAAGATATTTTATTAGCCTAATTTTTTTTTTTTTTTTTTTTTTTTTTTTTGTTATTGTCTCTCATTGGTGCAATTAATCTTTTGGGCTTTTATTTTTTGCTTTTTAAAATGTTCTCAAAACGATTAAAAATTATTTACTTTTTGCAACTAAATATTATTTAATATTATTTGGTCAGCAATCGAGAGCGATCGCTCTCGCTTACCGACCAAGCCTGCCTAATAACTTAAAGCATAACATAAAAGAACATCACAATCACCTAGTTGTTTTAATTCATCTTTTATGAATATTTGTGATTTTCAAAGTAACTTTTCACCTATTGAATCTTACTATATGCAAAATTTACCAGATTACTTTTTGTGAAACTAATTTGAATTTGGCTTCATCTTCCTATCATAAAGTTAATGGCTGTAATTGTTTAATGCGAAAAGACTCCTATAGTCACGTACTTGGCCTGGTAATATAATTATGTATAAATTCACCTTTTTGTTGTGAAATCAGTTTTGAATCCTCTGACCATTCTTTCATGTGCTTCAGTTTAGCACTTTTTCATTCAATCATCTTTCTCTTTTTTCTTAACATCGTACTCTTTTTGATGTTGTTTCTGATCAAGTTTGGCTAGTCCTTTTCCCTTATTCATCAGCCAATATTTTTGTTATTGGTAACTTTGATGTTTCTTTTTAATATTGCACTCTTTTCAATGTTATTTCTGATCAAATTTGGCGATTCCTTTCCCATTATCTGTCAGCCAATATTTTTGTTATTAGTAACTTTGATATTTCTTTTTAATATTGCACCCTTTTCGGTGTTATTTCTGATCAAATTTGGCCAGTTCTTTTCCTTTATCCGTTCATCGCACCAAATAACTTTTCTCTACAGCTGACTCTAAATTCATAACTTTTGTATTTCTCAATCTCTTACTCAAGTAGTTAACTTTGTGACTTAATTTTCAAAAAACCCTAATCACTTACTTTCACTCCTTGATTTGTGTCTTTTCTCTGACCCCAACTTGTGCTCAGTTTCTCCTTGTTTTCCTTTGATCTTTCTTTGATCTCACTCCATTTTTTATTTCTTAAGTTATTTCTCTTTTGAATTCTTTTTGTGGACAACATTCCTGTCATATTTTTGAAAATTTCTGTCTCAAGAACTCTCTTCAATACTCTCAAAATTATTTAATAAGTGCTAAACTGAATCTTGTTTTCCTGCCTGCTGGAAAAAAGTCTAACTATTTTCCAATCAGTCATCTTTTTTCTATTAAGCAAGGTCTATTAACAAACTTCTAATATCTTATCATGAGTCTAGCAACTTGCTCTTTGACAATAACTAAAGATCTTTGAGTCTTTGATCAACAAATTTCTAACATCTCATCTTGAGTCAATTAATTTCGATCATCTTATTCTGCATCTGATTTTCTAACTGCTGTAACTGAAAGATTTATTGTGCATTAGATAGAGACAGCAAGGCATGGGTTCTTGCTTTTAATAAATCAAAAGTTTTCAATAAAGTCTGGCATTCTGTGCTTCTCCATAAGTTTGTTTCATATGGTGTATATGGGAAAGGTTTTGAGATTATTAAATTATTTCATTCTAACTTACTCTCTGGCAATAAAAACTTCAGTTCTCTTATTCTACAGCTATTTACTGTTAACAGGTTCTATTGTGTTATAACGGGTAGGTTCTATTGTGTTATAACAGGTAGATTCTATTGTTCATTTAATGGAAGCGTTGAGATGAGGGCTATCACTATTGACATATCAAAGGCTTTTGATAGAGTTTGGGATGTAGGTCTTCTCATCTATGTTAATAATCTTTCTGACAATTTTAAATCTAAAGTCGCTCTATTTGCTGACAACTATATACTCCAACCTTGACAAAAAGTCAAATATTTTGATTGCTTAAAGCAAGCAGGTGGTTCCTAATCGTGATTTTTTTTGTTTAAGCTTGGGACTCCAAATGGCTTGTAAATTTAAATTCAATAAAGCCTACATGTTTCCTGTTAATAATTATTGTAGTGATGTTGATATTCCTATATTAGTGAATGGCACTTCACTTGAGGTGTTTTCTTAGGTTTCTTTAAATTATCTTTCACAACTAACCTCACATGGAAACCATATATACAATCCATTGGAAAGTTAGCATCATTCAAGGTTGCCTCTTATAATTGCGCTTGTCATTTCCTTACTCCTGATTCCATTTTCTACCTCTGCAAATCTCTTAATCATTCCTGTATGGAATACTGTTGTTGTATTTTAGATAATGATGTCTTTTTTTTTCTAGAAAAAGTTCTAAAATGCTTTGTAAATATAGTTGACTTGCTACTCGGCAACTATTATCTCTTCAGTCAGAATTTCAGATTGGTACGCTTGTGCCAACCTTAGCCAACGTTAGGTTAGCAAAAAAAAAAATTGGACTTTTTGCTTTCTGTTACAATAGGGGTAATGATTAATTGATTATTAAAGGATTGCTTTATAATAGCATAGCTTTAGACAATAATATTTTAAAGAATGTAGCAATTAAATTTTGTGTAGTAAATTAAGTATATAGCAAATTTATGAATTAATAATTTTTTAGTTTTGAAGTTGTTGTTGTTGTTTTTTTTTTTTAAATGGTCATAGTTTATTACATTTTAATTGGTTTTTTTAAATTGCTCATAGAACGAAGGTCAATACAAATTTAGTTTATGTGCTGTAGGCAAAGATTTTGTTTAAAACAGCAAATTGTTTAACAAAATGAGACAGTTTACATTTGGTTCTTTAACCTCTATGAGAAATAAGCATTTAATTCTCCAGTAGTCAAGGTGGTGTTTTTCAATATTTAATTGTAGTATAGTATGAACTTGTAACTATTTGTAAATTGAAGGAGGGAAAACAAAAGTTAAAAGTACTACAAATAGTTTTTTTTCTTCTTATACATAAACATTGTTTTGCGCATTATCAGAATTTTCTGTCCAATTATCATCAGAAATATTGCTTAAGTTAATGTTAGAAATCAAATTTTCTTGATCAGAAGATTCACTGTTATAAGAAACAAGGGTTTGCAAAGCCTTATATTCTTTCTGATGTTAAATAATATTAAAAAAACCGTAAACATGTAAATTATAGTGGTACAAAGATATATATATATTTTTTTAATTATCTTCGCTTCCAACAAGGTTGCAAGCAACCACTAATTAGTGTTGGAAGTTACTGGAAGAGAAAAGATGAAGATTGTAGAGCAAGATAACGATTGACAGACGACTTAAAAGATTGCAAATTATATGAATCAGGAAAGCAAGATGAAGGAAGCGAATTCCAAAGAACTGATGTTCGAGGAAAAAAACTAGACGAATAAGAGTTTTTGGAATGACGAGTAACACGAGAATGAATTTTAGTAGATGGCACAAGAGACACTAGCTCTTTAGAGCAGTGCCCATTATAGTATTTGTTGAAAAGAGAAAGAGAAGCAAATTTACGGTACAAAATGTCAAGCAGAATGACAAACAACTACAACAAACAATAGTAAACAAGTACATATTTTTTGATAATATTTGCTAATATAATATCTTGCTGCTTGCATCTAAAATTGTAAAAGATTTTTTTTTTTTGTAACAGTATTAAAAATTCAGCCTAAAATATTTTGAGCAATTCCGGTATAAAATTCTAAACTAAGGCTGTCTAACATATTAACATTAATAACTTTTTCTAATATATTTACATTTATTACTTTTTCTAATTTTTTAATTTTGGCAAAGATCTGAATATATTTTTATTTTTAGATTAATAACAGTTATTAGAAAATATTATTAGTGCTTCAAATGATCTAGAAAGTCTTTAAAAACAGTAAATTAAAAAAAAAAAAAAAAAAAGTTTTAAATCAGCCAATCAGTTTTAAGTGATCTAGAAAGGAAAATGTTTTTACTATCAGTCATGGATGGGCCAAGTCTTAATTGGAAATTTTTATTATTACTCGATGGCCAGTTAGATGTTTTTTCAAAATATAATTTAAAAGTGGACTTGATAAGTTTCTTGGTTTGTATAATTTAAATGAAGATAAGTATTTGTGATCAAAAATTTATGGTGCATTTGTAAGTAGTGTTATTTTTTAATAAAATCCTTGCTTTTATGGGGTTATTTGTTAAAGTCATTCACTAAAAGTTCCAAATTAAATTAAATTTTATTTTAAACTTTTAGTGAATGACTATTGTGTTTTAATCAAGAAGTATTTCATGTCTAGTTTTTTTTAGTTAGACACTGTCCAATCATCCTATTAAGAGTATAGCATATTAAGATGTCCATATTTTAATATGAAAATCACCTTAAATTTACTTTTAAACATTGAAAAAATGCTACAAATTAAAGAAATATTTGGAATTGAACTGTAATTTGATGCTTACAAATTACAGCCCTACCTGCAGTACAAACATCAATTGAAGGTTTATGCAAGAAATTTATTTTAGGAGAGGGCGATGTGAAGGGGTATAGTTCTAAACTCAAGTCCTCCCCTCCTACGTCTTTTGTTGCTTGGTAAAACTGTTTGACATTTGTTAGCTTTGTCAAACATTTGTTAGCTGTCTAATAAAATATAAATCTAAGCAATCTAAAAGTTATGACTTTTCAAGTTTCAAGTTTTGTCAAGTTATGACATTTCGTCAAGATTGGATTATATACTTGTATTGTCAGCAAATAGAGCAACTTGTCAGAAAGATTAATCATCAAAAACTTAAAAATTATTAATTTAATAATGATATAACTAAAATATATGATTCATTATGAACCTAAGTAATTTAAGTTAAAAAGCATTAGCTTAAAATGACAACACTGTATAAATCAAAATTATAATTGAAAATAATTTAAAAAAGCATTGGTATACATGAGTTATATTTATTTTTCAAAGTACCACCTTAAAAACCTTAACAAAAAAAACCTTTATATAATCATATGTTTTTTAAAAGTGATCACAATTCAAACGTACTACTAAATCAAATATTTTGTGAATTAATAAACCTTCTGTATTTTGATAACTTGATTAAACCCATACTAAAAAAACTTTTGTAAATCAAGCACTCATTTGGATTTAAAATGAATTGAAATAAAAATAAGATAATCTTTTTTTGTTTTGTTTGTTTGTTGTCTAATTTTCAATTAATTTTATATTTTTACCTTGTTAACATATTTACAGTGAATGAATAAGAAATGATTCTTAACTTAACTTTTTATCAAAGAAAAAATAGTTTCTTTAAACTATTAATAAAAATTTATTATTTGTTATATTTAATTAATATATTTCTTGAATTTATTTTGACAAGAAGATCCTAAAATATTTTTTTGTAAACTGTAATTAATTCAAGTTTCTTTTTTATCATATATATAGTCCAGCAGAGAATGGTGAAACAGCACTGGATGCTTTGCTTATGGATGGGTAATTAAGTTTAATATTGATAAACTAATAATTAATTATAATAGAATTATAATTAATTATAATATAATAATGAAAAGGTTATTTCTGGTGTTGTTGTTATATATTTTATGTAAGGGTTGTTGTTATATTGTATATTGTATATTGTTGTTATATTGTTATATGTTGAGATAAATAGGCACTGAGATGAGATTGAAATAGTCATATATGAAAAAAAGCACCCATCTACAGCACTAAAAAACACAAACCTAATCATCTTTAATGGGCCTAGGACCGCATGATTTGGAAAAAAATTATTACAATTAATGTGTGGTCTGATGAAAAAAAATGTATTTTGATTTTTATTAGCTTATTAATATTGGCATGACATTCAAAAAAAGAAAATATTTTTAAAAAGAAGAGCTATGGAAGAAGGAGTAATGTGTAGATTTTTTTTTTGAAAAAAGTGCATTTGGTTTTATTACTACTAAATTAAATGCTGAATGAAATATAAAATTTTTTGGATAATATTTCTTTAACTCAAATTTTAATTTTCAGCTAGATCATTTACCAGTATGAAAATTTGGTCAAAATGTGTCTCACCAGTGTTAAATTCCATTGTAAGCATAATCTAAAATAATAGAAGAAATTTAATTTTGAAATTAATAAAGGAATAAATATTCTATATATATATACATTTCTGTTTTATTTGTAGCTTTTAAATTTAAGAAATATTAGCACATTATTTTCCTGGATTTTGATTGACAAGATTGAACTAAATATATAATAATCTTGTAAATAACCTAATAAAACCTAAAATGTTTCCTTGGCAACTCAATTCTATCTTACAAGGCATATAATTATTATCATTAATATTATTATCATCATTAAGTAAAAAAAACAACAAAGTGAACAACTAAATGTGTATATTATTATCCATATATCAAAACTATATACAATATCTTATAACATAAAAAATATCATATGCAATACCTTATAAAATAAAAAATATTATATAAAATAAAATTTTTATCTAACTGCATTGAAAACATAAAGCTAGATACAAATCTTTGTTGTCTTCAATAAAAAAAACATTCTCTCTATAATTTTTTTTTTTAAATAGTTCTTTAGTAAGATTAAAAGATATAAAAGTAAGCTATATAAGCCAAAGAAAAATCTTGTAACACGATAAAGCTAATAAAAAACAATAAAAACAAATATAGACAATAAAGCTAATAGAAAAGGAAATACTTTCACTAGTCTAACTATATTCTCCAGGCTTATGTCATATTTCTGTTAAAACTAATTATTGTTTGATTTATTGATTTTGGAGTTCATTTTGTTTTACTGTATTTGTTTAAATATGAATATTTTAATTGTTCAGTGATTTAATTTAGTGATAATAATTTCTATAAATATAAATATTTTGTGACAATCTAATTTCTCATTAAAACTCTATTTCTTATTTAATAATTTTGTTTTTATAAGACCTACTCATAATGTTGGTGCTGTTGGGAGTTTAAAACGAGTGAAAAATGCTATTGCAGTGGCTCGTCATGTTTTAGAAAACACTCAGCATACATTTCTAGTTGGTGAAGATGGTGAGGTGATTTAGAATTTATACATATCTACATATATATATATATATTTATATATATATATATATATATATATATATATATATATATATATATATATATATATATATATATATATATATATATATATATATTATGATATTGACTTTTTGGTACCTCCAGCTTCCTGTATAAAAAACAGATGAACTTTGGTTTGAAAGTAACGGAAAAGTCATTGGTTTTATTTAATTTTGAAAAATGTCACCTACCATGACCATTGATTACACAATGGCTCTCATATATCAGTGAATTTTTTTTTCTTCTAAAGTATATCAACCTGGGTTTCAAAAGAACCAGAATTTCATAGAATTTTCCCTTGAATGTCAATATGTGTTTTTTCAGAAATTGCCAATTTTTTTAATATAATAACATACATACAACAAATCAAAACATAACAGCTTGAACAAAAATAACTTGTAGTTATTATAAAAGTTTGTTTATATTACATACAATCCTGAATAAAACGTTATAAAGTGGATTTTTTACATTTTATAAACAATATATATAAACAAATAATATATTTATTTATATATTGTTTATGTAAGGATATTTATATAAGCGCAACAAAGTTTAAATAAAAATTAGTTTATATTAAAAAATGATTTACATAATGTTTCTTTGCTTGCACCAATAACTATACTTGAAATTTTTAAGTGCACTGAACTGCAAGTACTTTTAATTTTTTTGGTTTAGTGGCTTTTGTTAAGAGCTTTTAAATTTACATTAAATAAAATAAATATTTACATTAAATAAAATAAATGTAGCAAAAAAAACTTGTAGTTGTCAGTAGGTATATATATATATATATATATATATATATATATATATATATATATATATATATATATATATATATATATATATATATATATAAATATATATATATATATATATATATATATATATATATATATATATATATATATATATATATATATATATATATATACAGGGCTCAATTTAACGGTCTGACATTGCCGTCTGTTTTTGAGATCTGATTCATGGGGGCAACCAACCATTGTTCATCTTTAATGAAAAAATCAACAATTGTTTGTTGCCCTCCTCTAGCAGGTTTCAAAAATGGTCTAAGGGGCAGCAATGTCCGGCCGTTAAATTAAGCCCTGTATATATATATATATATATATATATATATATATATATATATATATATATATATATATATATATATATATATATATATATATATATATGTATATATATGCATATATATATGCATATATTTATATATGCATATATATATAAATTTTTTTTTTTTTCAATTTATTTGCTTTCATATAGTAAGAAATATAACTACAAAGAAATGTTTAAATATAAAAAAAGTGGATTTGTTAAAAACAGGCAGGGGCTCAAATAAAATACGTATGACTAAATTCACCACAATCTTTTCATAAAGCCGCTATGTGGGTATTACAAGTTAAAAATAATATAATATAGTTAAAAATACTTTGTACATCTCCAATATAATAAAAAGGTTAAAGCTTGCATAAATATTTACATTAAATCAAGAAAGTATATTTTATACTTTCTTGCTAAAATTATATTTTCAAGAAAATATAATTTTAGCAATAGTTATTAAAATATACTTGCATACTCTGTTAAATATCAAAGTAAAAGCCAATTAAAACTAGCAAAAAACTAAGAATAATGGAATTCAATTTTCATTTTAAAAAATCAAGAAAATTTTTTATCTAATTTAAAAATTTCTTTTTTATTACAAACTTAAAGGAATTGAACGATTTTACCATATTTTTTCCAAAGTTTTGGTCTACTGTATGATATTCCATATTCAGAATACTTACTACTAATTCTTGGCAATTTATAGGATTTTTTTAGTTTATTCTAAGAGATTACTTTTTGTTTGCATTTTTCTTGTATTTATCATTTAAGTTTTTTAACCTAACTTTTAGATAAGTGTTTGATAGCTAAGTTTTTAATGCTCTAAGACCTTCTTAGTTCTACTAGTTGCATAACGTTACGTTTGTAAGTGTAAACGTCTTTAGAGTATGTTGAGTTTGCAGGCTAACATGGAACAGTTGTGTATATTAAATCTATATAATTATATTAGGTTTATTAATCTCTTATAACACATAACAATGTTATGTGTTTAAGAGAAAAATAAACCTAATCTCTTATAACACATAACAATGTTATGTGTTTAAGAGAAAAATAAACCTAATCTCTTATAACACATAACAATGTTATGTGTTTAAGAGAAAAGTAAACCTAATCTCTTAAACACATAACAATGTTATGTGATTAAGAGAAAAGTAAACCTAATCTCTTATAACACATAACAATGTTATGTGTTTACGACAAAAATAAACCTAATCTCTTAAACACATAACAATGTTATGTGTTTAAGAGAAAAATAAACCTAATCTCTTATAACACATAACAATGTTATGTGTTTAAGAGAAAAATAAACCTAATCTCTTATAACACATAACAATGTTATGTGTTTAAGAGAAAAATAAACTTAATCTCTTATAACACATAACAATGTTATGTGTTTAAGAGAAAAATAAACCTAATCTCTTATAACACATAACAATGTTATGTGTTTAAGAGAAAAATAAACCTAATCTCTTATAACGCATAACAATGTTATGTGTTTAAGAGAAAAATAAACCTAATCTCTTATAACACATAACAATGTTATGTGTTTAAGAGAAAAATAAACCTAATCTCTTATAAGCTCTAGGTATGCGGAAAAGGTGCGTGTGTTAATTTTTTTGCTCTTAAAGAAATTTTTCAGATTGAATTATGGAAAACAGGGAAAATGATCGGTGTGGAATAGATAAGTATAGGTATATAAATTGGTAAAGACCCGCATTTTATGGCTTCGTAAAGCTAGGATATATATAAATGAATAAAGTATAGAAAAGCTTGGTGTGGAATAGACTTACAAAGACCCGTATTTTTACAGGTTCGGTCAGTTAGTTTTGATAAATCTTTAACTGACAAATTAGAAATAAAAACATTTTTTAATTTTAAACAGCCAAACAAGAGGTTATAGCTTTTGATACTTCAATTAATTACTTCCAAACAAGAGGTTGTAGTTTTTGATACTTCAATTAATTACTTCCAAACAAGAGGTTGTAGTTATTGATACTTCAATTAATTACTTCCAAACAAGAGGTTGTAGTTTTTGATACTTCAATTAATTACTTCCAAACAAAAGATTGTAGTTTTTGATTTCAATTAATTACTTCCAAACAAGAGGTTATAGCTTTTGACATTTCTAAACAAGAGGTTATAGTTTTTGATACTTTAATAAAAACTTTAGGCATGCTTATTGTGCAAACCTTCCAACAGATTAGGTAAATTATGGCTTGACAAGTGGTATTGTTGCCTAGCCACAGTTTTAACAAGTCACAGTTTTAACAAGTCACAGTTTTAACAAGTCACAGTTTTAACAAGTCACAGTTTTAACAAGTCACAGTGTTGACAAGCCATAGTGTTGACAAGCCACAGTGTTAAAAATCCCTTGTGTTGACTAGCAGTAGTGGTGTAGTAGCAGAGCGCTTCTTCTTATGTTTTGGAGCAATAAAGAAAGGATTGTAAAAGTAATTTAAAAAAAAAAACTAAAAAAAAAACTATCCTTCTTGCTCAATACAGTTAGAAGACAAAAATAGTGAAGTGGTTTACCCAAATGTAAATTTGAATTAACCACTCTCAAGTGATTGACAGCGTTAATATAAATTTTGATTGCTTGATGAGTAGCAACCAAGGAAATTATTTGTGTCATACTACTAGACAAAATATTATTTTATTTTTTTTACATTTTTAACTTTTATTTTACATTTGTAGTTGTTTTTTCCAGAGTTTAAAATTATACATCATATTTGATCTCTTTTAGCTACAAGGTTTGCAATTGATATGGGATTCAAAGAAGAAGATCTGAGATCAGAAGAATCTATGTATTTTTTATTTACTCATAAATCTTACAAAGTCTGAAGTGTCTCTTAGTGCCAACAACAGGCAATAATTTTAATTGAAAGTCTATTAGTGTCAACAACAGACAATAGTAGTAGAGTTTTTAATCAAAATTAAAATTGAAACTTAAGAAAATTAATCTTCTACACTATTTATACTGTTTTTTTTAATTTGTTTTTTTGTTTTTTTTTTCATTAAAAATTTTTAAAATTATTTTTTATTGAATTCCTAAAAAACAATGTTTTATTGAAATGAATTTAAACACTTTTTTTATCAAGTTGACACTCAGGGATGAGTAAAACTTCAGTAAGTTGACACTCAGTGATGAGTAAAACTTCAGTAAGTTGACACTCAGTGATGAGTAAAACTTCAGTAAGTTGACACTCAGGGATGAGTAATACTTCAGTAAGTTGACACTCAGTGATGAGTAAAACTTCAGTAAGTTGACACTCAGGGATGAGTAATACTTCAGTAAGTTGACACTCAGGGTTGAGTAATACTTCAGTAAGTTGACACTCAGGGTTGAGTAATACTTCAGTAAGTTGACACTCAGGGATGAGTAATACTTCAGTAAGTTGACACTCAGGGATGAGTGTCAACTTGGTGAGTAAAACTTCAGTATAAAACTAATTTGTTTAAATCAGTTCTAAAATTAGTCTAATGTTAAAAATTTTTACTTTGTTAATTAATATTATTGTTTTTGAATATTTAATATATATTCTATTTTGAGGAAGTAATATTATTTTAACCATTTCAAAAAATGTTTTGTTTTTTATTTGAATTTAACACACTAACAAAGTTTGTTAGTGTTAAATTCATTTGTTCATTAAATTCATATTCCCTTTTAATAATGAAAATTCATTTGTTCATTAAATTTTTATTATCTCCTGATTAAAAAAAATGCTAATAAAAACAAAACAAATTAAAAAGAAGAAAATTTTTTAGTTGTTTTATTTATAAAATGATAAATCAAAGTTATTGAAACAACTGTATTTTATTATACTCATTTCATTTACATACTATTTTATTTATTTTTATATATTTAAGAAAAAGTTTATGAGTTATTTCCTGTGTTGCATTATAATTTTTTGCTTAATAAACTCTCCAACTTTACAAAAGCCACAGTCATTAAGTAAATAAAGTTATATATAGCTTTGCTGCTAATATTTGTTATTTACTAGAAGACTTGTTATTAACGTTATTAATGTTGTATAGCATATTTGTTACTGTAATTATTTGGTTATTTTAGTTTGCAATGGAAGGAATGGAAGAACAATAAATGCCAACCAAACTTCTGGAAGGTATCATTAAGATTAATTTTAAAGTTTTTTTGATTAATTTTTGAAAATTAATTTTGAAGATTTTTAAGTAATGCTTAAAAGTTATCATGTTGCAAAGTAACTTTTGAATTTAAAAAGTTGTTTTGTAATGATAACTTGTTATCATTCTATTTTAGACTTAAAATAGAAAATTTAACTATTCAAGTCAATAATATAAATATTATAACAATAATAGTACATTCAATTAAATAAACCTAATATAAGAAAAGTTCATTGTTTTACATTTGCTTACACTTAAACACATAAAGCATGTTGCTTTGTTATTTTACATTTAAATGGGTTTTTGCAATCTTGGTGTAAAATCATCACAAAATCATCACAATACAATAACTAGTTCTATACTGATTACTGTGAGTCATGAGTATGCTATCTTGGTAGTCAGCACACCATATTGCTTTGGCTTGTTGGCATGCCATCTTGATTCATTTGCATACCATCTTGATTCATTAGCATGCCATCTTGATGTGGTTTATTAACACACCATCTTGATGTGAATCATTAGTACATGATCTTGCTGTGAGTTGGTAGCCTACCATCTAGCTATGAGTTATTAACACACTATCTAGCTGTGATTCTTTAGCAGGCCATAAAAAGTGAAAATACTCATAACTCACTAAGTTAGTATGACAAATTTTTTTGAGATATGATTTTCTTGTCTCAAAGTAGCATATTAGGGGAGCAGCATAAATGCATTATCATAGTAATTTGTCATTCAAGAATATTCTTTTATCTAACAAAAATGTTGTTATGCAATAAAGCTCTATTGCTCTTTGAAACCAGTTAAACTCGTGAGTGATTAAAAAATGATTTAAAATCAAATATTAGCAGAGCATCTAACAGATACAGCTTGTATAAGGATTTTTGACCATTTAAAAAATTTTAAACTATGATTTACAAGTACTTTTTTTTTTAATTTATATATTTTTTGATTTAGAATGTGTGGCCAAATTCAACTGAAAGTTGTGGTCCTTATAAACCTTTGATGTTAGTTTTTTGCATTTAGTTATATGAAATCAACTCTTAATTTTATGCTACATTCAGTTTTTTCCCTTTTCTAGCAATCAGCTTTATAGCAACCATGAAATAAATGAAGCTGGTAAATTGGATATAAATAATCATGATACAATTGGTAAGGTTTATTTTTAGATTATTTCGAATGTCTGAGTTTTTAAATAATTTTTTAAAGAATGTAGTGAACTGTATTTAATTTTATTAGGTATGATTGCTATAAACAAAGATGGTGATATTGTAGCTGGTACATCATCTAATGGCGCTACTTTTAAAATTACTGGGTTTGCAATTTATAAATAATAGATTTTGCACAAAAAATTAGAAAGTTGATGTTAAATTTTCTTTTGCTCTAAATGGTAATAGTAGGTTGAATAATAGAGACAGGTTAAAAAGTAAAAAAAGAAATGTTTTAGCTATTCAAACATTTTTCATTAGCAGAGTAGTTATTTTCATTTCATTAGCAGAGTAAATTTTCTATTTTAAATTTTATGTTTAGATAGTAAGGTAGGTCTTTAAGTTGGCTCTTACACCAAGCCTTCTATATCAACCTTTAATCATTTGCAGTGTCACCAAAAGACAAACTAAATAATATAAATTTGAAATAAATATATTGAAAAAAATAAATTTAATTTGGAAAATCTAGAATAGATTTGGTTTTTTTTGAAATATTTCCCCATGTTTTTATGAATACCCATGTAAATTTATTTCTGAAGATGTATTTTTTCATCCTTGATGACAACAAGAAAAATTGCATTAGATTTTATGTGGGGAAATATCATTCTTTTTTGACAAACCTGAATTAAAATTTCCTCTCAATTTTCCTTACCAGATTTTAACAGACTCTACCAAGATTTTAACAGACTCTACCAAGATTTGATTGCTGATCAAGCAAGAACATAGTAAATTTTTAATGGGAAAGCTTCATAAAGACAGAAGGTATATTTATGTTGACTAGAGGAAAATAGTAATAAGAAATACCTTAAAAAGAAAAGAGGGCAAAAGAAGACCAAGTTTGAAACTTTGAAAAAAATCAAAAAATAATATAAATTTAAGTTGAAAAAGGACAAAGAGCTTTAAAAAAGAAACAGGTATAAAAGTTAACATGTTTCATCTGTAATTTGTTTCTTTTTAATTAGAATATCTTTGTCTTTATGGTAGAAGCCTGCAATTTATTTTTTATTTTTTATTTGTTGTTCAATTATCCAATATATGATCTAATTCCTTACATTTTGAAACATGTTTATCAATACTCGCTATATTTCTATTTTCACTGGATTTTTGTTTTCAAGATTTTTTTTATATAAACAACAAAAAGATTGTAACAAGTGGTAAGTTGTTCAGTAAATTAAAATAAGTTTTAAAAAAATAACATTTTTTTAATGGAAGAAAGTCTTTTAAAACTGGCAGTCTATCAATGTTACAGGCAATTAGAAAAAGTCATAAAATTTTCGAAATAACTAAATAAAAGTTATTATTCCCCAGGCAAAAAAAGAAAAATACTTTTACAATTTTAACTTAAATATCTCATACTTGTTTGAAAAAAAAATCGGACCTGTATCTTTATTCAATTTGATAAATTCCATACTCTAAGTATAAATTTCATTTAAGAGCCTTTCTATTGTTTTTTCTGCTTCATGTTTTGAATGTCTATAACTGAAAATGCTTTAAAAATGATGTTATTAACTCCAGTTATAATTTCTTTGTTAGATATTACGTTAAGTATTATCAGTTTTTATATCATAGAATTATGTTAGGTACTTTGTTAGGTATTATTTTTTATACTATAGTATTACGTTAGGTACTTTGTTGAGTATTATCAGCACTAAATCTTTTCTTTTTTTTTAATATACAATTTAGTGCATTATTTCTTTTAATGAAAAAATTAGTATTTTTAAACCTGTTCCAATGCTACATTTAAGATGTTTTTATGATTGGTTATGTTTAGTTGTTGTTGGGTTTTTATGAAAACTTTTTTATATAGTCGGGTAGGTGATTCTCCTATTACTGGATCAGGTGCATATGTTGACAATGATATTGGTGCTGCAGTTGCTACAGGAGATGGTGATATTATGATGAGATTTTTACCTAGGTTAATATATTTTTTATGATTAATAATTTTTTTTAATATTGAAACCTTATATAACTTTGCGTAATAATTTTTCTATTGTGTTGTTTATGAATGAAACAAAGTCTAAATTACTTTAGCTATCAAGCAGTAGAGAATATGAGACACGGAATGTCTCCTACTGAAGCTGCTGTGGATGCGTTAAGAAGAATTGTAAAGTATTACAAAAAGTTTGAAGGAGCTCTAGTTGTTGTAAACAAACAAGGAGATTATGGTATGATTAAAGTTTATTAGTTTAAATACCAGAATTAGTGATCGTTCGAAATTCTGTTTTGGTATCGGTTTCTGCCTAAATTTCCATTGGAACTGATACCGAAATTTCGGTTCAAAAACATACCAAAAACCAATATTTATCTAATTAAGAAAAACAGCGTTTTTTTAGAATTTTCACAAAATATTTTGAGAATTTTCACAAAATGCCTCGAAAAAATCTTGTTTTGCAGAGAAAATCTCCCAGTTGTTAAATTTCGCTATAAATTTATATCGCCGACTTAAGTATTAAAACTTAATTTGGGATACACGTGTAATTAATTTTAACATAATAAAAGTACAAAAAAACAACAAATGTAAAATTGCATTTTTAAATAAATTTTTCTTATAACTTTCAGTTTTGGCACCAAATTTTATATATATATATATATATATATATATATATATATATATATATATATATATATATATATATATATATATATATATATATATATATATATGTGTATATATATATATATATATATATATATATATATATATATATATATATATATATATATATATATATATATATATATATATATATATATGTGTATATATATATATATATATATATATATATATATATATATATATATATATATATATATATATATATATATATAAAACTATTTTAAAATAAAATGAAAAAAAAATTTTTTTTTTTTTTGTTGCATTTTTATTTTTTTTGTTGTGTGTGTGTATATATATATATATATATATATATATATATATATATATATATATATATATATATATATATATATATATATATATATATATATATATATATATATATATATATATATATATATATATATGTATATATATATATATATATATATATATATATATATATATATATATATATATATATATATATATATATATATATATATATATATATATATATATATATATATATATATATATATATATTAAGGTTATAACAAAAAATTTTTTTTATGAAATCACTTGCAATGGAGGAAACTTTATGTGTAATTTAAGAATATAAGTTGCATTTTTGATGTTTTTTAAAAAAGTTCCCCCACTCACACAGGAAAAGAAAAATGAAAAAATGTTTTTTTTTCAAAAAAGGACGTTTTTTAGATTTATCCAAAATAATAAAAGTAATAGCTTATCTTAGCAACTTTTATGAACAAATAAGATGGAGAACATTAGTAATATGTACAAAATATACATGAAATGTTTAAAAGTTATTTTTTCCAAGGAACTTCAAATTCAAAAACTCAAATTTTCTTGATTCTTCATAAAGTTCCTCCATCAGTTTTACGGCATAATCAGCAATTTGGTTAGACCTGGTAATATCAATGAATGACTCCTCGATTGACCAATGTGTTTTTAAACACTTAATTGCTTTCTTGCATTTTATCTTGATGAGTGAGGTTAATAGTTCATTGAAGGATGCTTCATTGTAGTGTTGCTAATGGAACCAAGCATTTTCCCTAACTGCATTCGTAGCAGATAAAGTCGCATGCTGGAATGAGGTTGGTGCGCCACTCTGGCATCAGGAATGATGCTATAACAGCATATATTGCACGTGAGTTCCATCTTGCTTAGTGTACATTTGGGAGTTTCTTCCAGTTTATTCGAGGCCAACGTGAAGTTGTTTTGTAATGACGATACGCTTGACATAGTTCATATAAGAACTTGAAATCATCTCGCCATGTTAACATCATTTTCACATATAGGCGGTAATAGGCGGTGAATAGAAACATAATTCTCTGTTAATTTATCAATGAAGGAATAATTGAGTTCTGGTTTGCTCGTTGGCTCTTGAATAAAAAAATTCATGACATGTTTCAGAAGGAGGTCAAGAACATGGTGCTGACAGCCAATATATTGTGGTTTCTGAAAGCCCTTGCTCAAAACATCATCTTGTATTAGCTTTACAATCCCATGCAGACGACCAGTATTTACTGCAGTCGTGTCACAGATTATCATGCAAATATTTTCCCAAGCATTGTATTCATCAATTAGCTGATATAGTTCCTTGTGAATGGCCGCAGCAGAACCACTCTCACATTTAAGAATACCGAGTTTGACTTCGATAGTCATATTTTTCAGCAGAACTGCTTGGTATTCTTATCCATGCACTCTTTTACTGTCAAACTGGAGACAATATGGATCTTTGCCCTTAAGTTTTTGAGCAATTTTGGTTTTCATTTTCTGTTCTTCAGAGATTACTCTTTTCCAGACACCCGCCTGACTTGGAACTGGCACATCGTGGCCTTGTTTAGCAATGGTTGCGAGAATGTCATGTGCTTTTTGTGTAGAAATGTTGTTTTTCAATACTAGTAAACCAGATGTTGTAGTGCTGGCTCTTTGGTATTTCGGTTTGCATTCAGGAGATGAATAGAAGAAGAGGTTTGCGAATCGGGTGAGAAAACAGAAGTTTCAGAATCCGTAGAATCTGAGACAGTTTTATGTGTTAGTGTGGGATGCAATTGAGAAGAGCTGGCTTGGGATTGAGTTTTTGATAGTCAGATTCGTTTTCTTGGGTGGATTGATTCCAGAGGAGCTTGTTTGACCATTGAAATTACCAATCTTTCCTCCACTCTCAACTTGCCTGTGGTGTTTTATCTTCCGTGTTTTTCTGTTCTCCATTAACGTTGGTGACATCAAATAACTGAGAAAGTGTTGCAGTGAATTTATCAGATGGTTTCTTTTTGTTTTTGTTAAATAAATAAATCAGACTGTTGAGCTTCTTTCTTATGAGTGCACTGGATAACAGTGGAAAGTCTAGAATTTCTACCCAAAGCTTTTTTATATCTGTAATCATAATCTTGATTTGACCCAGTCGCTGTTTCTTGCTATTGAACAAAAAAGTGTTTCCAAGAATTTGACGGTTTGTCGGCATCCGCGTGAGATTGGTTAGTTTTTCAACAGATGGAATCTTTGGATTTCTTTTATTTTTGGAAGAATAGGGTAGATTTTTTATCCAGATACACCTGTTTGATTCTATACTATTTCTGGAATATCTATAAGACATTTTATTGAAGTGACAAAATGTCTTTTCTGGATGACTTGCAATCTTGCACTGAAAACGAGGTAATTAATCTACAATATTCCAAAATGTTATAAAATAC